AATATTTTCCCAGGTGTCCAATGAGACTGGCTCACCAAAATTCTGCGCCCATCTTATCATACAATCTTTAATTAGTTCCGTTTCTGAATCCAATTCAACTAAAACCGCATAAATTCTCTTAATGTGGGTTTGTCTTGAATCCTTCACTTGCTTGATAAGATTTTCATCTTCTCTAAGAAAACCCACCTTACAATCCATCTTCCATCTGTCTAATAATTGCCTATATTGGAACCAAGAATAAATAAAGTTTTCTTGTGCTAACTCTTCCCGTGATTTTAATTGCCAGTTTTGTCCATCCCATTTAAGTAACTGTCTGTAAGACACCATATCCATTTTAACCCCTCTTTTTATTGCTTCTATCGCATGCCAAGGTATAGCCCATAATGGTACTTTGAAATCACTTTTATAATATTTTCTCCAAATCCTAAGTAAAGAAATTCTTAAGATATGAGATTTAAAAGCCCAATCCATTTTTTTATTGAATATTAAATAGGCATGCCACCCATAAAGTAAATCCCATCCCTCTAGATAAAGTATCTCAGAATTTGTCAAATTTACCCAATCACTGATTAGTGTTAAAACCACCGCATCATAATATAATTTCAAATTTGGTACCTTAAGTCCACCCCTCTCACGGAAGTCTTGCATAATTTTAAACTTAACCCTTGGCTTTTTCCCTGCCCAGATAAATTTATTAAGACCCTTCTGCCACTCATTTAAATTAATCTCATTTTTCAAAATTGGTAACATTTGAAACAGAAAAAGAAACTTGGGTAAAATATTCATTTTTATCACTGCAATTCTTCCCATGAGGGATAATTGCAACTTTTCCCAGTTCTTCAAGTCCTTCTGTACCCTGACCCACAACCTTTCATAATTATTTTTAAATAATTTTACATTAGAAACAGACAACATCACCCCCAAATATTTTACCTTATTAACAATCTCAAAACCCGTCAGGTTAGTCAAAATCTGCTTCTCCTGACTAGACATATTTTTAGGTAAAATTTTGGTCTTATTTACATTAATCTTAAAACCCGAGACCAAGCCATAATGATGAATCAACTGTAATAAGTTTACTACAGAATAATCAGGTTGCGACAAAGTAACAACCAAGTCATCCGCAAAAGCTCTTAACTTATATTCTTTTTTATTAACATATATTCCTTTAATTTCCTGAGACTCTCGAATTTTGATCAATAATATTTCCAATGTTAAAACAAACAACAATGGCGATAAAGGACACCCCTGTCTAGTACCTTTCTCTATTGTGAAAACCTCCGAAAGACCTCCATTAACAATAAGTTGTGCTGTTTGTTTTTGATATATTACCTTAAGGGCTTGTAATATGTTTTCACCAAAATTCATTTCTTCCATTACTCTTAGCATAAAATGCCAATTCAATTGGTCAAATGCTTTTTCAGCATCTAAAAATATGAGCCCTGCAGGAACTTGGTTGTTCTTATCTAAGTATTCTAATAGATTAATAATTTGTCTAACATTGTTTTTCATATACCTTCCTGTTATAAACCCTGATTGATCTTTATGCACAAGATGATGCACCACCCTCATAAGCCTATTTACCAAAATTTTTACAAATATCTTATAATCCACGTTTAAAAGAGATATAGGCCTATAATTTTTTGGTAAAGTAAGATCTTGATCCTCCTTTGGAATCAATGATATAAAGGCACTACGCCATGAAGGAGGAATCTCTAAACCCTGTAAGATACCATTAAAAAGATCATTTAATGGTTGGATCATCTCCTCCATTAAAGCTTTATAATAAACAGCTGTTAACCCATCCGTACCCGGTGCTTTCCCTAATTTCAATTGTTGAATTGCTGAGGCAATTTCCTCCTTAGTAATTAAGCCATTAATTTCATATTTCTGATCCTCAGTCAGTTTAGGAAAACTTGCCTCAGCTAAATATTTATTTATATCTAACAATTGTACATTAGTAGATTTATATAAGTTTTGATAATAATCCAAAAAAGATTTTTTAATTAATTCCTTCTGAGAAACTAGTTTACCCTTATAATTTATTTTCTCTATTATTCTCTGTCTCTGTTTCTTTCTTAATTGATAAGCCAACCATCTCCCCGGCTTATTAGCATTACAAAATGTATTTTGTTTCATAAATAATAAGTTGGTTGCAGCTTGATCTGCTATCAACATATTAAATTGTGACCTTAATAACTTTACAGATTCTTTAGTACTTTCATCAGAAGGATTTAGAATCAAAGCCCTTTCTTTTAATTTAATTTCATCTTCAAGTTCTCTACGTTTCTGAATCTGATTTCGCTTATAAAAATTATTCATTTTTATCAAAACACCGCGCATAAATGCTTTACCTGCATCCCATACCATTGACATTGAAGTCCCCTTGTACATATTCAAAACAAAATAGTCCTTTAAACACTCCTTTAATTTTTGAACATTCTTCTCTTGTCTAAACAAATTTTCATTAACTCTCCAGGATCTTCTTTCCTCTTTCTCTTGGATCAGCTCCATCCAAACTGGACTATGATCCGTCAGTGATCTAGGAAAAATCTTAACATTCTTTACTTTATTATACAAGTCCGTGTTAATCAAGAAAAAGTCAATTCTTGAAAAAGATTGGTGTCTATCAGAAAAAAAAGTAAAGTCTCTCTCCTCTTGGTTACGTTCCCGCCAATAATCCCTTAATTCCCAGTCTTCTTTCATATCAAAAAAGGCTTTAGGTAGCCTTGCTTGTTTAAGAAAAGGAGAGGAACCTTTCTTGTCCCTTTGTATATCTAAGACACCATTCCAATCACCCATTAATACCACTGATCTATAATCAAGCAATGTTATTTTTTGATGTAACTGCTTATAAAATTGTTCCTGTTGTTGATTTGGAGCGTAAAGTCCAACTATAAGTATTTTCTTACCATAAATACCAAGTTCAATCATCACATATCTCCCCTGGGGATCTGATTCTACCAGACAAGCTGGTAGGTTTTGTTTAACATATATAACAACTCCCCCTTTCTTCCCAGGAGCAGAAGATATAAAATGAGATCCCAAACGAGCATTAACTAAATATTTCTGATCTTTAAGTAAAATATGAGTTTCCTGTAAGCAAATAACATCATTAGTATGTTGCTTCAAATAATAAAAGATTTTTTTGCGTTTCTGAGGAGAATTCAATCCATTAACATTCCAGGTCAAAAACTTTGCCATCTCCCTTGGCACGCAGCCTGGAGAAGACACCATCAAACTCTGAAAGAGCTGCGTGTGTTGCATAACTCTTGGGTCTTGCTCCTCCCACCGGCGGTGATGCACTTCCAGGAGAACTCTCTTTAGGCTCTTTTTTACGTTGCTCCTTCTCTTTACGCTTATAAGCTGCACGGGTCATCCTCTGCTCTTTAACCTCCGTCTGGTGTTGCTTTACAGCTTCTATCATCCCAGCGGAAACCAAATCTAATGCCTCAGATTGCTGCTCAACTTCCTTGCCACTCAGAGATTTCCGACCAGATGAGGTTGAGCCTGCACCCAGAACCGAAGTATAAAAATCTCTAGCTTTGTCAACTGTATTCAATCTGTAGCGTGTCCCAGCATGGCTCAAAACAATACCCATCGGAATTTCCCATCTAAATGGCATCGATCTAGCTTTAAGCTCATTGGTTAAAAAAGCAAAGTCTTTCCTGCTTCTTAAAATTTTGGATGGGATTTCCTTTAGAATGATGACATCTTGGGCAGCAATCTGAAATCTTTTATTGTAAAAAGCTTGTATAATCTCATTCCGCAGGGACTTCTTTGTAAAATAAATCACCACATCTCTAGGCAAGTTCTTCTGCTTAGCAATCCAGGAGTTGAGCCTATAAATTTTTTCCACTTCTCTCTGTAATTCTCCTTTATCCATATCCAAGGCCAGCGCCAGATCAGTAAGGACCACCTCCACCAGATCTTGATTCACATCTTCCTTGAGGCCTCTGATCCTCAGGGCATACTCCATTTGTCTGTACTGAAACATCAAAATATCTTCTTGTGAGGAGTCCACCTTCCTTTCCACATCTTGAATTTTGTCATCCAAAGAGTCAACTTTGTCTTCCACTTCCTCAAGCCTTGCATCGAGCTTAACCACCACAGTAGCCAAACCTGAAACAGCTGCCAGTATATCTTGTCGTAATTCATTATTGTTTTCTTGCAATTTAGTCTTTATCCCCGTTATCTCTTCTTTGAGATCAGATTTAATTTCTGATTTAATCTGTGAGACAAATTGATTCATTTCCTCTCTCATTTGAACTACAATCTCTCCCATTATGCCTCTAACCTCTTGTGCTGAAAGTCCAGATAGAGGAGGGGAGGGTGGTAGCTGAGCCAGTGGTACATGTTTAGATTGTTGTTGTAGCTGTGCAGTGGAAGTTATAGGAGAAGAAATAACCTTGGGTATTGAGGAAGGCTGCTGCCTCTTTGAAGCCATTTTAAAAAGCACAATTGTCACTTCCCTTTCCCCTCCAGCCAGGAAGGGAGGAGGGAAAAAAAAAGAAAAAATTTTTTAAAAAGAGACAAACTATAGTCCTTGAAAGTCCAGAGTAAATCCAAAGAATAAAAAATAAAAGAGCAAACAATTCAAAAGAAAAAATTCTAAGCCAAAAGCAAAAGTAAAAGCAAAAACCAGTCCTTAAAAAGGGAAAGTAAAACAAAAGAGAAAGGAAAAAAAAACTCCGACACTTTCAAAGCGCCATCTTAAATCCTTTCACTAATATAACAAAAAAAGGAGGAATAATAATAGAAATCAAAAAATAAAAAAATAAACACCTAAATTATAACAAAAAATCCTTTAAACTGCTCCGTCCGTTTAAAAATTACTCACCAGAATGCTATAAACACGGAGATAGAAGCGGCGGTTTCTTTTGCTTCCTAGGAAGCAAAAACAGCTGGGAGGCGGAGATCAGCAGGAGCTCCGAGGGAACACTCCTTTCACCCCCTCTAGAAACAAATCCAGAGGGGGTTCAGGGGTTCTACCTCTATCCCTGCACTCTCTGTCCCTTCCCTTTGCCCGGGAAGGGATTTTCGAGCCGCGGGCCAGCTGATGCACGCTGCGCTCCGCGGCTCTGACACTTCCCCAGCTGGACGGCTAAAAGCTAGCCGCCATCGCCATCGCCTCACACCGGAAGCTCCGTTCACCTCTAGTTATTGAGATAAAATAATTGATTGGATAAAGTAATTCTCAAGAGTAAGAAGCCCAAATTTATCATCTTATCTCATAGACATCTCTTTCATCTCCCAGAATTGGTGTTTGGATGTAATAAGACATTGGAGACAGTGCAATGGTGGGTACTCTGTGGAGCTTGGGAAAAAAGGCAGGATAAGGCTATGGTTCATATCAAACAACACATAAACGGTGTGATTTCCCCCCCCCCAACAGCTCATCAAAAGATTCCAATGAGTTGGCGCCACCTGAATTATAGAGAAGGCAAGACTTTTTCATTGTCCGTAGGGCTGACTGCCTATGCTCAGTACAATTTTCCACCACTGCTGGAAAAATAATTGGATTCCTGGAGAGCAACATGCAGCTCATAGCAAATCACCTAGGATTTTTCCAAAATTAGAAGCAGGAATCCCCAAAAGACTAGCACTGATGATGTTACTTAGTTTGGGTAATGAAACGTCTACAAGAAAACAAGCAAACTCAGACAGCACCAAGGCCCCCTCATGTCAGTCCTGAGCTACAAATATTCTCCTTTATTAGAATCCCCAAATTTTGTCCAAAGGGTTTGCTTTGACCTAGTTTGGCTCATGTGGCTCTTGTGAAATAGGTATGCTCCAAATGAGATGATGAATCATCACAAATTGACCCCATGTGTCAAAATGTTCTGTAGATGCTTGCCAAAGGGATGTGTAGTCTACTAATTGCTTAGAATAAATTCCAAGACTGCTGCCAAGGATTTGGAGTACCTGGTTTTGATAGCTATTTTTTTTTTCCTGGGCATTTTCCAGTTGCCTGCTTTATTTAATACAATAATGTCACAAATGTTAGTTTCCCTCCCTCTTGAAGTCAAAGAGCGCACATTTTTGTCTTTGCTTTTTTGTTTTTGTTTTTTGTCAAACACACATTTTAAGCACTGTATTAAACCAGTAAAGCTCCAAATAGTTTGGAACAGGTCTTTGGTTAAAACTAGAGTGGAGGGGTCCTTGGTGTTCTCTGAGTTTGGCTGTTGTTTTTTTTTTTTTTTTGCAGATGTTTCATTACCCAAGCTAGGTGACATCATTAGTGCTAGTAAGGAGTGGGGTTTGCTCTCTGTTTATATTCTAGTGCAGGGGTCTGTATTTGCAGTGGTATTTATTGGAGGTGTACCTTGCACTTGTATTTTAACACAACAGGTTATTCACTCTATTCATTGCATTTGAATTCCGCCGCTGCCTTTTTCATCCAGTATAAAGTAAGGATCCTCTCTCTTTCTGTCTTCCAATTCTTGTGATTTCAGCATTAAATGTGTCCAAGATGAATCTAGGTTCTAAATTCTGACCACAGATGTATTTTTAATTCCTGTCCTTGCAATTCTTCTTTGCATGCAACAGGCAAGGTTAAGCAAGGGGGGCAGGGAATTACACAGAGTTAATTAGCCAAAACCTGGCTAGGTTTATCCCAAACAGGCCTGAAAGAAAATACCCCCTTTTCTTCCAAGGTCATTTGGGCAGGGTTGGGGGGGAGGAGAAAGAGAGAGAGGAGAGAGAAAGAAACTTGTATTTTGCTGTTCCACTTGCAGAGTAAGTACTTATTTCCAGCAGTAGATAATCTGGCCTGCAGAGAGCCAGTTTGCTATTTTTGTTTGTTATTCATGGTTTATCAGTTCTGGATGGACTCAATTGCCTTGAAATGGGAGCTTCCATCCAGACTCAAGAGGTACTTTTGTCCTTTTTTTGATCATCATGGTGCTCACCCCATGCCAGGACAGGACTTTTATTGAGTTCCCCACTGAGAGTAATCCTGTTGCTTCTAAGTTGACTGCACTCAATAGAGAATTTCAGGAGAGAATGGTTCATTCCCCCCCCCCCCTTTCAGGCAAGACAACCCAGGAAACATAGTTGCCAAAAGTAAATTTGATTGTAGGTAGTGCAGATTGCCTTGCTGAGACTGAATCTATGAAGCCCCCCCTCCATTTCTGGCGGGTTGTAAAATATCTGTATATTTTACTGATGATTTTACTGACTGATGATACAGAAGAGTGAGAGGGACACCGTCAAACTGAAAAAAATGCTGAACAGAGCAACATAAATGGTAAGGACCTTGAAGACCAAATCTTACCAAGAACAATGTCTGTGGAGATTCTCAGTCATCCAGGTCATAGTTATCCCAAAGGATTCAGCAGTCCATCTGCATTTAAAAAATAAAAGCCATTCTTTTGAAGACAGCAAAGTCCACATTTTGGACAGAGAGGACAGCTGATTTGAAAGAGGGGTCAAAGAGGCCATCTGTGTCAAAATTGAACAGCTCTCTCTCAATGGGGGGGGGGGATCTGACATCATCTATCTCCAGTTTACAACACAGTCCTTTCACCAGTTCCAAGAAGGCTCCACACCCATTTGCACTACTCGGGCGATCCTGACAAGGCAGATAAACCTCCAGGTAGCCTCAACAACTCTCTAAAAGAATGCAAATGACCAGCCGTCTGCAAGGAGTATAAATCCTCCCATTCCCCACCATCCAGTCAGAGCTGAAAAGGTTTCCTGGATGAGAAGCGAAACGTCTTCAAAGAAAAACAGGAAAGTCCAGTTGCCTTGTGAAAAAGCATCTTTCGGCTTACGAAGAACAGTTAAAAAAAACTGATATGAAGAGAAGAAGAGAAGGCTAGGGAGAGAGAAAGAGTAGTAGTCTTCCAATACTTGAAGACTTGAATACAAGACTCCCCTTCACAAGAAAAAGCCCATGGATTTATTTTCTCTAGCGCCAAGGATAGGACAAGACCAGTGGCTGGAAGATTTGCAAAGAGAGATGCATACACAGAATAAGGAGGAATTTCTTGACCGTAACAATTATTGACCAGTGAAATTGCCTGCCTCCAAGACTGTTGGTGCCCTGCTTTCGAACAAAAGTTGGACAGCCCCCTCCCTCTTGGGAATGGTCTGAGAATTCCTGCTCTGGGCAGGAGATTGAATTGGAAGACCTCAGAAAACTCTTCCAACCCCACATGGTTGATTTTTCTTGGCATTCTCATTGAGCAAAACCACCAACTTTATTAATTTTACTGTTACCTTCCAATTTTATACGGGATCATTACCTAATGATAATTAAATAGTTGATAGATCGCAGTGTTTCTCAAACTTGACAATTTTAAAGCATGTGGACTTCAACTCCCAGAATTCCACAGCCAGCATTGCTGGCTGTGGAATTCTGGGAGTTGAAGTCCACATGCCTTATAATTGTCAAGGTTGAGAAACACTGTGATAGAACATGAATTTTTCAGTAACCCTCTTTGCCAAAGTATTGCCCCGAGAGACCCATTTTTAAAGGTTAGCATGCTAAAACCAAGTTGCAAGAATAAGTGGATATATTTAAAGAATAATGTTTCTAATTATTTTACTCTGTCCCTTTGCAGGGAGGTAAATCTGAAAACTTAGTGCACACAAAGGACACTTGTACGGTACTTACAGCTAGTCCTGGACTTATAACCATTCATTTAGTGACCGCTCAAAGCTACAATGGCACTGAAAAACATTACTTATGACCATTTTTCACACTTATGATCGTTGCAGCATCCCTATGGTCACATGATCAAAAATTGGACCCTTGGAAAATGGCATGTATTTGTGACGGTTGCTGAGTCCCGGCATCATGTGATCATCACCATTTGTGACGTTCTGACAAGCAAAGTCAATGGGGAAGCCAGATTCACTTAACAACCATGTTACTAACTTAACAACTGCAGTGATTCGCTTAACAACTGTGGCAAGAAAGATCATAAAATAGGGCAAAACTCACTTAACAACTGTCTTGTTCAGCAATGGAAATTTTGGGTTCACTTGTGGTTATAAGTCGAGGACTATCTGTATTTTAGAAAGAAAAGGGAAATAACTTTAGCAGGAGAGGAGACTGTGGAGTATAGAAAAGCAGCTCAAGCAGAAAATGTTTAACCCTTTTTCTGCCATGACTTCTCCGGCAGTTTTTCTGCAGTCTACAAACATCAAGGAGATTTAACTAAAAATGATGGTTACAGTCAATTAATGCACTGCTAAATCTTAAGATCGTTCAATGACTACATTTATGTAGCAATTCTGAAATATTCCAAATGAGGAAGAAATGGACCTAGGGAAATTTGCTAGTGACAAAAACAAGAATGACATATCATGCGCGAACCAGAGAAAGTGTACTGTGGCAGAAGGCTCATTAGCACATAAAGAGAATTTGAGAGTGTGAACTCAAGCCTGCAGAGAGAGAGAAAAAAAAGCCAGCTATCAAGAGGGTTTCTTGCTCTCACTGTGATTTTTTTAAAAAAAGGAGATTAATGGTCTGATCCTAAAGATTCCCATGGCATTTCAACAGGTCAAACCACCCTATATTTGTCCATCATGAATTAGAGCAATGAGTTCTAAACTCTTTTCACAAACGTTCCTTGTAATTCAGCATTTATTTCTAAACCCTTTGGGATGAAGTACCACCATTTCTTTCCCATATCAGAAGTGCTCAAATACTTTAGATTGAAGTTGTATTTAGGAAGAGAAGCAAATCTCACATAAATGTGTTTTCTCTTGAGCATATGGCAGAGAGAGAAATGTATTTTTATGGCCTTATGGTCTGATGGTTCTGTGCACATGAAAAAAGAGTGCAGCTTGTCAAAACTCCAGATTAAGCTGAGCAACGCAACAGTATGAAGAAGATAAATCCCCGCTCTAACACAACAGCAGGAAGAGAGGCTGCTAACTGGTAAAGATTTCCATGTGTGAGATGGCTGAAAATGTGCAGTAATACTCCAAAGAATGGGTCTCAGGCAATAGACCTTGGGGCTGTTTAAGAGAAATTGATTACCAATGTCTTGGGTCTCCAAAGGCTCAGAAAATTGAAAAATGGCCCATAGTTTTTAGCATTTTAGAAGCTGCACTTCAAGATTTAAAACAGGGCTGTCCAACTTGACACCTTTAAGGCCATGCTAGCTTGGGAATTCTGGGAGTTGGTCCACTAAACCTAAAAGTGCCAAGGTTGATCACCCTTGATCTGAGACATCTTTGGAGAGATTCATCACATTACCCTTCATTAAAAGAATTTGAAAGGCCAGCAATCACACAACAAAAGGCATGCAGTGCCTGTTCATATGACACTCTTCCTAAAATCAATTACCTCTGTCAGATGCAAGTTTCATAGTTCTTCCTTCGGCCATACAGAGGGCCAAAGTGATCAATTTTCATTTTTTGGTTCTGTAGAAAGAAAAATCTTCATCAGGGTCCAGTCCAAGCCAGGAATAAACAACATGGAGACTGCTTTAGAAAGAAGGTTGTAGTTTATTGAAGAGGAGAGTCAGATAGAAAGATGGCTCTGGAAAAAAAGTGACCACATGTAGCAGGGAGTGGGTTTTTATACCTTCTGGGGCTCTTGAGGTTATTTCCTGTTCCTGTTTGAGGCTTTGTATTTCCTGTGTCATGTACTTTGACCTGAGTCTGAGTGTGCTCTTCTGGTATTCTGATGGTGGTGGGTTAATCCTATTATGTCCCAAAGGTCATATCCTGCTTCCCTGAGGCTGTGGCTGATGACTGTTGGAATTTTTGGTGTGAGGGATTGTTGATTCTAGGGATCTTTCTTTCTAATCCTAACTTCCTGACTCCAATCATTCTGACAAGATTATCACATCTACATTTCTGCAGACCTGGTTTCTTTCTGGGGCAGAGAGACTGGGGGGGGGGTGATTTCTGCCTTTAAAATCCATTGGGGAAATATATTCTGCATCCTGACTACAGATACACAACAAAGTTGCAGCCTTCAAGCCATCTTCTCTAACTTGATCCCTCCAAAGTAATTTTCTACTCTGGCAACATAGGACCCCCATCTCTCTGGGTGAGCAACGTCGAATTCGGACAACCACCCTATCTTCGCCATCCTTGCTTCTATGTTTAGGAAGGGGTCTATCAGCCAGCTTACCTCCAGCGACACTGTACTGGCAGGCCAGATGCTGAATTTAACGCCGTCTTCCTTTCCTCAAGGACTCCTTGAGGAAAGAAGTTTTCTTCTTTCAGCTTGCAAGCCATCCCACCTTCGTTGCCAGTGTTAAGTTCTCGAGTTAATGGTGAAAGAAGAGCACACATTCTGTAACCAACAACTGTTTATTCTTCTGCTGCTCACTCCAACACAACTCAGAGGCTCGCACGCCTCTCTTACATTAAATAGAAATCCCGGGCAAAAAGGTTACAACAGAAAATGGTGTGCTTTCGCGCCTTGTGCATGCGCGCAGGCTGGCGCCACTTAGTCTGGTCCTGGGCAGCTCGCAACAGCCCGGGACCATAGCAAAGTCCCGAGCCTACTTTTTCAGGCTCAGGACACAACACTTTTTGTGTGAAAGCTGAAGGCAGTGTATTGTATAGCACCTTCTCTTCCCATTTTCCCCATAAGCACTCTGTGGAATAGGTTGGACTCACAGGGTGACTGGCAAAAGTCATCTAATGAACTTTGCTGGTTGAGGTTGGACAAGAACCTGGATCTCTCTCTAGTGCTGGCCCATGATTATAATCTCACACTGCTAATGTACAATGCCATTGCTACTCATAGGACTGCAACACGGTTGGAATATTTCTGCTCCACGGACTTATAGAGTGGTATTGCTACATATTCAAGTCTACACCACCCGAAAATTTCTGTCGCTGTGCCTCCTAAAATGGCCTTAAACAGGAGGAAGAGTTTTAATTTTATTACAGCCAAAGCTATTTTAGCCAAGCTGTGACAAGTGTGGGCGTGTTATTTGAATAGATTTTTCTTCAAATGTAACACTAGCTCTCAACACCTGTTTACATTTTCGTAGGGACGAACATGTGAAGGAAATGTAATTCAAGCCAGAACAGACATGATGAATATTGTGATATCAAACTGTGTCATATCTGGAAGGAAGAGGATTTTGAGCCACTCTGATTTCCAGTTGTTTCCTTTTCTTAAATACTTGAATTCTGTGGCTGTCTGGGGCTGAATAAACAGTTCGATTTAAAGATCATGGAGCTCACAGGAACTGCTCTAAGGAGATAACTTTTTTCATAAATATATTCATTGCCTAACAAAAGCGGATGTAAATGAGTAATTCCCTGGTAATGTCCCATTTAAATTACTGCAGGGCATGGAATTTGGGATGGTCCTTGAAGAAAACATCAACATCAAAAGTCCTGCTAGATACTGTTGTGATCATAGCATAGTTATAAACTTAGCTCCTCAGTTTCGCATTAATGAAATAGTCCCCCAGGTTGTGTCTATGTCCAGTTTGTAAGATTTATAAAGCTCTTTACAGTTCTAAACCAAAGGATCTGAAGAAGTCCTATGTCAGCTTTTTGATAGAAATTAAGGCATTTTTGGGGAGATTATGTTTTAAGTTCTCCAGAGTTACCCAGAAAGGGGTGCTTGGAATCTATTAGGTTGTTGTTCAGTGTCAGCTTATTTTTTATTTTATTTTTTCCAGGATTTCTAATTCTAGTTTTCAGTACCTTTGCAATTGTCTTAGTCCATGCTATTTTGGTGGCTACCTTCAAAGGATTCCTTTAATTTGATTACTTATTAACAATTTTGTCTGTAGTTTTTGGAGAGATTGCTTTGTTCTATGGCACCCTGCTGCACTGTATTTAATTTTATCAAAGAACTAAAACATTATCAGCCTAAATCGAAATTGATCTGTTCCAACAGAACAAAGTGAGAGGCTTTCATTTCTTAGCATATCATCACAGTTTTTAATGTTTTTAAGAAGAAAATAAAGCAGCCAAATTACAGAGTCCCACCATCTTAACAGACTTTCATAAATGTCTGTCACCAGCTAAAAATTATTGTATTTTCTTCAAATAAAAATTGCTATGAATTTGAAAGTCCTTTAGGCTGTGGGGTCTTAAGACCTATGCCAGATAATCTACCCTTAGCAGCATCAACTATATACAATTTTTTTTTGTGGTAGTTGCAAAGCAAATGATTTCAGTTGTATAATTTGTTCATTTTGGGTTGCTTTTGCTTTTTAAGTAATGTATCTCTTTTTATAAATGTTAGCTGTCTTAAAAGGTTTTTTGTCCTTGAAAATAGTGTAGAAATATCGTAAGAGGATAGAATGGAATGATGGCCCTGGATATAGGAAGCTTTCTGTTCAAACTAGAACTCAGGTGGCTTTCATCTTTAGAAACCCCCCTCCAAAAAAACCTCTCTGCACCACAAATAGTAAAATAATTAACAACTAATACCTTAGTTGTGTCTGTACTGATCTTCTAAATGAAAACAAGGTGGGAGCCAAACACAAGGTTATGACTTGGGGAAATACAACAAAAGGTTCCCGATTCATATTATTTATTTATAACAGGTACGCAGGGTGGTTTCCAGGTCAATAAAATTGTTCCTGCCCTCTTCCTTAGATTCTAAGAAAACATGATGCAAAAGGGAAATAGGATGCAGCAGACTAAAGCAATTGAGGTTCAATTCATATTCTATAATTTCTAGTGTTTCCTTCTGGCACTGCCTGATAGAAAGATGGCTGCAGATAAAGCATGAAGGGAAGATGATGCTAATGGTGCTGCATTAGTGCATCTGACCAGAAGTGGGAAGACCTGAGACTCGTATCCTTGTTTGGTCACATGTTCTCTGTATAAACCTACATTATAGACCAGTGATGGCGAACCTTTTAGAGACCGAGTGCCCAAACTGCAACCCAAAACCCACTTATGCATCGTTGGGTGCTGGCTGGGTGTGGCCCATTGGCTGGGTGTGGCCCATTGACTGGGTGTGGCTCATTGGGTGGGCGTGGCTGCAGTGGTAACGGCAGACTGGATGGGACTAAAAAGTTCAATCAATTCCAACTTTGCAAGATCTTTTTTTTCCCCCTGAGAAGTTGAAATTGACTGAACCTTTTTTTTTTTTTTGCACACAGCGGCGGAGGCCTAAAGCGAAAAGGTTTTCTAAAACTCAGCTGAAGGCCTAGGACTGGGGCGACGGCGCGCGTGCCCACAGAGAGGGCTCTGAGTGCCGCCTCTGGCACCCGTGCCATAGGTTCACCACCACTGTTATAGACCTATGAGAGGAAAACAAATATTGAGTAGAAGAAAGAACTACACACAGTGCCTTGAATTTCACGTATAAAGCATGAGATGTAATTTTATTAATTATAAGCAGCTAAGGAATATTTCTCAGCTGTCTGGATCTCCAGTCTGGGGAACTCCAGATGTTTATTTCAGTTCTTATAATTTCCAGTTTTTCTGAGAATATATTTGGAAATTTGTCTCACTCTTAAGACTTGTCTGCTGGGAATAAGTTTCTGCAAAACTCTGTGGAACAGAAGCGAGGAATTTTTCTTGCTAAGTTTTATTTATTATACTTGTCAGGACCACAAGGGACAGGTCTAGTAAAACAATGATATCAATGGGAGGATTTAGATGTACAGTTTTCCAGTTTGTATTGGAATATTGCATCTAGTTTTGGTTACCGTGATATAAAAAAAATATGTTGAGACTCTAAAAGAGTGCAGAGAAGAGCAACAAAGATGATTAGGGGGCTGGAGACTAAAACATATGAAGAATGATTGCAAGAATTGGATATGTCTAGACCCGGGGTAGACAACCTTGGCTCTTTTATGACTTGTGGCTTCAACTCCCAGAATTCCTCAGCCAGCAAAGCTACTGGCTCAGGAATTCTGGGAGTTGAAGTCCACAAGTCATAAAAGAGCCAAGGTTGCCTACCCCTGGTCTAGACTAATGAAAAAAAGGATAGGGGTGACATGATAACAGTGTTCCAATATCTCAGGGGCTGCCTCAAAGAAGAGGGGTCAACCTAGTCTCCATAGCACCTGAAGGCAGAACAAAAAGCAATGGATGGAAACTAATCAAGGAGAGAACCAATCTAGAACTAAGGAAAAATTTCCTGACAGAGCAATCAATCAGTGGCTTGCCTTCAGAAGTTGTGGGTGCTCCATCACTGGAGAATTTTAAGAAGAGACTGGACAGCCATTTGTCTGAAATGGTATAGAGTCTCCCGCTTGAGCAGAGGGTTGGACTAGAAGACCTCCAAGGTCCCTTCCAACTCTGTTATTCTGTCTTCTGTATTGTGCTTGCTTTTGAAGAACTAAAAGATTGCCTGGAATGCAAAGTAGGTGGACGGATTGCATAGATCTTGCATGAAATGTGATTCATCCCTGAATTTATCAATGTTCTGGATCATGGGTGTCAAACTCAATTTTATTGAGGGCCGCATCAGCATTGCGGTTGCCCTCGGGGGGCTGGGTGGGTGTGGCCAGGGTGGGTGTGGCCTACTGGGTGGATGTGGATGGAGTGGGTGTGGCATATTGGGTGGGCATGGCCAGCTCTACATCGTTCGGGTCAAGGGTGCCTGGGGGGGGGCTGGGCAGGAGTGGGACAGATCTGAGGGTCTCTGGCAGAAGTGGGTGGGACCGTGGCAAGTGCCAAGGCATGGTCCACTGAAGGAACCTCACTGCCTGCTGAAACCCCTCCGCTGGAGCCCATCAAGCCGGATATGTGAAGTAGGTGAGGGCCATTTGCTGGCCACTTCCAGGCGATGGTGCATTTCTTCATTCCTCACAAAGGGTGACACCTCCCCAGCATGCACCCAGGGGGCAGGGCTGACACGGCAGGGGCTGGTTCCTCGCTGTTTCCAGATGGCCTTGTGGAGCTAAGACTGAATGCGTTTCAGCATAGATGGCCACCACAGAATTGTACACTGGCTCCCGGCCGGCCTGGGCCAGGGCCAAGGCAGTGGGGGCGGTTCCCTCACTGTTTCCAGGATGGCTTCGCGGGCCACATAAAACCACTTCACGGGCTGCATCTGGCCCCCGGGCCTTGTGTTTTGATATGTCTGTTCTGGAGGGTGCACAGTTTGGCCAAGAGGGCTCCAAATGGTTTATGGACTTTAGGTTGTGTTATTATCATATGTTACTATTTTTTTCATCCTTCCATTCAGTCATGTCCACTTCTTGGAGACTGATTGGACAAGACCTTGCAGTTTTCTTCGCAAGGTTTTACAGAAGTGGTTTGCCATTGCCTGCTTCCAAAGGCTGACCCAAGGTCATCCAGCTGGCTTTGTGCCTAAAGTGGAATTACAACTCCCAGTTTCTAGTCTGATGCTTTAACCACTACACCAAACTGTCTCTCACCTTCCCCCTCCTTTAGTAGAGTCTGAAATTCAAGATTCTTCTTTAGCTGATTGTAGTTTGAACTCGGGGGCATCTCAAACATCAGCAGATTTCTGCCTTTCACTTTCTGAGGATACATTAGCATTGTGTCACAAGAGTTAACATTTTTCTTTCTGGCACAGACTGGCCAAGGATATTAGACGTTTAAATCAAAGTTTCCTTCTAGGGACTGCCAGCCCTGGAAGTGCTATATAATGGATGAGACAGAATCATGGTCTGAGCAAGGATGTATTCAAGGCAGCCCTCCAAAGTTCTTACATCCCATTTGAAAAGCTTCATGAACTGTTGGAATAAAGGAAATGCTCCCTCCAGTTATGCACCAGCTTTGATAGAGAAAGTGCTTACGAGTCCCTGATGGCATGTTCAATCTTCCCACTGATTAAGAGATTTGCTTTGCCTTCTTTTAAAGACCTCAAAAGCCTGTTTCACCAGAGGCAGAAGGGTGTACAGCAGAAGCATACCCCATGAGAAGCAAAGCCTCTCTGCAAATTATCATCTTTCTCCAGCTTTTGCTAGTCTTATCTTATGAAATATGCCGCTGTGGTCCATTTTAATACAAAGCAATTGAGAGGAAGATCCTGTGAACTGTTGACCTTGAAGCCTCAGCAAGAATGTGCAGAGGTGGTCCTCAACTTGCAACAGTTCTTTTAGTGACCATTCGAAATTACAGTGGCACTGAAAAATGTGACCTATGACTGTTTTTCACACTTACAATCATTGCAGCATCCCCATGGTCACGTGATCAAAATTCAGATGCTTGGCAACTGGGATGTATTTACGACGGTTGCAGTGTCCCAGGCTCATGTGATTTTTGTGTTCTTCTGGCAAGCAAAGCCAATGGGGAAGCCAGAGTCACATAACAACTGTGTTACTAACTGAACAATTGCAGTGATTCACCTAACAACTGTGGCAAGGAAGGTTGTAAAATTGGGCAAAACCCACTTAACAACTGTCTCACTTCACAACAGAAATTTTGGGCTCAACTGTGGTCATAAGTTGAGGACTACCTGTATATTGTTATTTTTAGATGTATTTATTTATTGGACTGATCCCAGGTACCCAGCAGTAAAAACATAAAAATGAATAGTAAACCACCATAAAACAAAAACCAGTATCTCAAAACAGATACTTCTCCATAGAGTAACTTCTGGAAAAAGTGGCCCCAGTGTTTGCTTCAGTGGGTTTCATGTAGTCCTTTGCTGTTCTGGACTTTGCTTTATAGCTAGTTTTCTGCTTTATTGTGCAGCCTTCTTTTAAATAATATTTAATGTGTTTCCCCGAAAATAAGACTGGGTCATTTTTTTGGGCCTCCAAAAGAGGCATCAGATCTTATTTTCAGAGTAGGCCTTACCTCACCTCTGGCATCGACAGCCCCACCCAGCGGGTCCACTTCTTCTGGGGCCAAAGTTCTGCAGCTACATTTGGGCCTGCATTTTGCAGTTAGACCTTTCCAGAAGGCCTAAGCAGCTGAGAAACAAGCTATGGATTCAATCCATAGCTTGGTGCTTGGCTGCTGAGGTCTTGCAGAACCAAGCTATGGATTGAATCCATAGCTTGGTTCTTGGCTGCACAGATTTTCCAGAAAGCCCTGTAACTGAGAAATGCAGGCCTGGCTGCAGAAGAGGCCCCAGAAGAAGAAGTGGGTTGGCAAGGAGAAGCCTGGCTGCAAGGTAAGTGGGTACGAGGTGGGTGGGGCAGCTCCACCCCCCCACCCTAGCTTGATTTTTAGGTGTATTCCTCGCCCCAAAACTAGGGCTTATTTTGGGGATATTATACTAGGCCCACTCCCCAAAATCAAGCTAGAGCAGGGGTCTGCAACCTTAAACACTCAAAAGCCACTTGGACCCATTTCCCAGAGAAAAGAAAACACTGGGAGCCGCAAAACTTGTGCACACACGCATGTGAGGGGAGAGACAGCTTGATTGAAGAGTTTAATTAAAAAGAAATAGAGGCTGCTGTGCATGAGTTCTCTCTCTCTCTTTCTCCTCTCCCTCTCTCTTTCTCTTTCCTCTCCCTTTCCCTCTTTTTCTCTCTCTTTCCTCTCTCCCTCTCTCTTTTTCTTGCCTCTCCCTCTTTCTCTCTTTCCTCTCCCCCTCTTTCTCTCTCTCTTTCTCTCTCTTCCTCTCCTCCCTCTTTCTTTCGTCTCCTCACTCTTTTTCTCTCTTTCTCTCTTTCTCTCTCTTTCCTCTCTCTCCCTCCCCCTTTCCTTTCCCTCTCTCTCCCTCTCTTTTTCTCTCTGTCTCCCTCTCTTTCTTTTTCTCTCTCTCCCTCTCTCTTTCTCTCTCTCCCCCTCTCTTTTTTCTCTCTCTCTCCCTCTCTTTCTCTCTCTCTCTCTTTTTTCTCTCTCCCCCCTCCCTCTCCCCAATCTTCTGCTCACCTGGAAAGCTGGCTTCAAGCTGTTCTCCAACAACAAGCTGACAAGCATTCTAATTGGGCTGGCTCTCTCTTGCCCTTCCTGCTTCCTGCAGAAATGCAGCAAAGGGAGGAGCCCCACCCAATAAGCTTGTCAGCTTGTGGGAGAATAGGGTGAGGCCACTCTTTTTTTTACACAGAAAAACAACGAGAGAGAGAGAGAGGGGGGGGGAGAGAGAGAGGTGCAAGTGCCTCTTTCTGTCTCTCTCTCTCTCTGCAAATGGCAGAGGAGGTTGGGAACCTGCAGGGGAAGACTCAAAGAGCTGCATGCGGCTCCGGAGCCATGGGTTGCCGACCCATGAGCTAGGGCTAATTGTTGGTGTAGGCCTTACTTTCGGAGAAACATGGTATTAAAAACACGTTATTATTTTTGCACCAGTAGGGGAAAAGCTCAGAGTTCTCTAGCCTTTATGGGAATTTCTTCTAAGCAATGATTGATACATGAGCAATATTATGTTAAAGAGACAGTTTGGTATAGTATTAAGATACCAGGCTAGAAACCAGGAGACAGTGAGTTCTAGTCCGCTTTAAAACAAATCCAGCTGGTTAACCTTGGCCAGTTATTCACTCAGCCCTAGGAAGAAGGTAATGATAAACCACTTCTGAAATCTTGCCAAGGAAAATGCAGGGACTTGTTCAGAAACTCATGGGGAGTTAACCCTGTCTCAAAGTCACATGCACAGACAATATCATATCACACATGCAAGCTTTACCCAGCCAAGTGTAGCAAAGAACCTCTTTGCTCTGTTCTTTTCACTATTCTTACACACAGACCCCAAAGCTCTGAAAATGGCCCCAACCAGCATGGACAGGAACTCCCCAAGAGTGAAAAACTCCAATTGCCCATGGCTTTTTACTATGTGATGCATTGATGTTTATATTCTGCAAGCACTCCCCCCCCCCGTTCTTTAAGATTAACTTACAAAAGTCAGGAGAAAAGCCCACATCTCCATATGGGTTCATGGTATTGCGATGGCCTTCAGTGTACATTTGTGCTTCCTTCTCAGCAATATATATATATTTTTCGATTCTGCCTTGGTTGCATTTTACAAGAAGGATATTTTTATAAATGAGAAGTGGGCAGCTTGTTGTTGGGTTCAAAGGCTTTATTGCTATAGGATTAACACATTAGTGACCATGAGGGCAGGGCAGTTTTGAGCAGGGCCAGGCCCCAAATTGGATGGAGCTGTTATCCCTTCCTAGTTTTTTTTTCCAGGGCCCATAAAAAGCAGCATCTAAAATAATGTTTCTCTTTAGCTGCACATAGACTAACTCTGCTTATAGACCTAAGCGCTAGACCCTTTTGTATAACTGATAATGAAACAGTTACCAATTTTTAAATAATAATCTTGTTTTACTTTCAGTGGTAAATGTTACATTCAAATTAGATGCAAATGTTTCTGTTTGCATTAAGGTGGCCTCAAATCACATAGATCCTTTCTGTTTGCAGAGGATAATTGTTGAAAAGCCACAAGATGGCGTTGTATACCTTTATCACACAGCTGTAAGTTAGAATACATATATTTTACAGAGAAAGTTCCTCTTTCTAATTGTTTCACTTGTTCTCTGCACCTCCCAATCCCCCAGGGTCAGGCCAAAAACACAAAATTCATGAGGCTGAGGCTGAGAAGTACATTGAAATATAATCGTCCAGGGAATATGATTGCAGTGGCTATGGAACAAAAGTAGGAAGGACTGATAATTTCTATGTAATGTAAATGGCTAGCCCAATATTTTTCAACCTAGACAACTGTAAGACATGTGAACTCCCAGAACTCCCAGAAAACCAGAGCCAGCATGAAAAATCAAGTGAATCCTGTTTAAAAACATTGCTCCTGTTCATGTTTACTTGGATTTAAGCAGTGTTGAATTAAGCCAGGATTTATTTTAAGTCAAATCATAACAGTTCATGCTCTGGAACATAGTCATGAGTGCCATTTTGACTTTTCTGACCTCTGTGGCAGATCCCCCTGCTCTGGTCTGCTGCTGATTTAATCCTCCTGACAGATAGGCATTAAGTTAAATGGTAGATTAGATTAAATGCTTCCTTCCAAAGGCAGGCCAGAGCAGTACAATACATTTCTATCACTGCCCATCCATAGATACTCCACAAAGGGATCTGTTAATGTTAATGGCTGCTGTTTGAAGATGGTTTTACAGGCCATGTATTTGCCCATTAGGCTCCAAAAGCATGAAAATTTCATGAATACTAATAGGGTCTCTATTTCACTTAGAGGAATACCATACTCAGACTGGTGACCAAGAGTGTTTGGTATCTGATCTGCAAGCAGCTGTTGCCAGCAAAAGTGAATTCAAACCTCAAAAATACTGTGACTTCTATAATACAGAAATAAATCTGCCCTCTTCCCAATCCTTTTCCTTCCATACCAAATAACTCAATTAGATTTTTCTTACACAGATGTAGTCACACCATATTTTCCTTTCTCCTGCTCCTTCTTTTTAATGAGGGTTCCGTATTCATAGCCAAAAAAGTTCAAGGTTTCTGGCTATTGGTAATAGCCTTTCTACTAAAGAAATTACACCACACTCTAATAAATGAGGCTTACTGTGCTTATTTAGAGGTAATTGCTCTCCTTTCTGCTTTGCTTGTCCAAAATATTTGGCATTATTCCAGGCCAAGTGTTTGACCAACACCCCCCCCCCCGATTTATTTGTTTCTTTTCTTGTTCTTTTTAAGAAGGCAAAACATCTTGCACTGCTTTTACTATAAACAAGGTAGCAGAGTCTAAAAAAGTCCTAAAGCAAAAAAAAAAAAATGTCTTAAATCATCTAAGTTAATGTTTATTTCCTCCTACACCTCAAAATCAAAGCATGTGGAAGAGACGTTTGAATTGGCAGGTCCTTTTGAACAGTGAATGTCCTTGTACCAGTATGACCGCACTTGGTTACAACACATAAAAACACATTCTGCAAAATGCGGCATTGATAATTTTGAGCCCATTGGTTAAAACACATCGACATGGACAATTGGAAATCACTCAGCAAGTCTACCACATCTTTATCCTCCTTGGTGGCAACAGAGTAGTCAGCCTTTAAGGCTCCAATCATCTTTAACATTTTCACTACACACTCTGCATCACAGTTGGCAACAATTTAGTATCACAATAAAGACTTAAAGCAAGCTCTAATAGGGTAACCAGAAAAATTGTTCAGAAAAAAACAAAGTTCAAAGGTCTAGCTTCCCACCAGAAAATTTTCGACCACCCGAAAAATTATAGTGGCAGAAAGTCCCTGACAACTCTACTGATTGTGCTTTGCCTTTAATGTTCTTTTTCTACACAGCAAAAGACACAAAGCAGCTATGAGTAGTTGACTAGTGGCATTATACCACAGCACCACTCCCAGGTAGCTATTCAACTGCTAAGCTTTATCATGTCGACCCCCCCTGAAATCAATAGATTTGTCATGGTTATCAAGTCCCCTTACTATTAGCAAAACTTAGTCTATATTCATTTGAACTGAACTGGGGCTGAGATGCAAATTGTCTAGAATAATCAATATAATACTTCAAATTGTGTCATATCCTCCTAGTGCTGCAATATCTGTTCTGAATGTAATTAGCTCTATTTTGAACATTTCAAAATATTAATGGGGCGCTGTTAGAAATTCACAGGTCTCATAACCAACACAATAATAACAAAAGGTTGAAATGGGTTTTTTTAAACTTATTAGAATCTTGTGATGTAACATCTTTCCAATTGTTCTTTAGCAGAATATTTAATGACCTGTATTTATCTCCACTTTCTCAGGATATAACCTGGTTATGGCTATGATGTAGAACTTCAGGAAATGCAGTGAATGAAAATCTCCAATCTTTGTATATGGTTTTGGAAGAATTCAGCCATAGTTGCAGGATATAATGCTCCCAGAGATATTTTGGTGACATTTACTATAAAGTTTTCCAGGAGTACAATTTACTAGAAACACAGAAACTCGCTTATACTAAGTAAAATTGTTAGTACAAATTACTAGAAACACAGAAACTCGCTTATACTAAGTAAAATTATTGGTTCCTCCAGTTGATCACTTTCATATAATAATAATAACAAGAACAACAACAACAAAAACAACAACAATAATAATAAAGTTGGAAGGGAACTTGGAGGTCATCTAGTCCAACCCCTGCTCAGGCAGGAAACCCTATACTGTTTCAGAAAAATGGCTGTCCAGTCTCTTCTTAAAAACTTCCAGTGTTGGAGCATTCACCACTTCTGGAAGCAGGTTGTTCCGCTGGTTAATTGTTCTAACTGTCAGGAAGTTTCTCCTTAGTTTTAGGTTGCTTCTCTCCTTGATTAGTTTCCACCCGTTGCTTCTTGTCCTGCCTTCAGGTGCTTTGGAGAATAGCTTGACTCCCTCTTCTTTGTGGCAGCCCCTGAGATATTGGAACACTGCTATCATGTCCCCCCTCATCCTCCTCTTCATTAAACTAGACATACCCAATTCCAGCAGCCGTTCCTTATATGTTTTAGCCTCCAGTCCCCTAATCATCTTTGTTGGTCTAACTCAGGGGTAGGCAAACTTGGCTCTAGTTGCAGCTCTCTACAATGTACTGGTGGACATGTCTCTGTCTTCTGCAGACTTCCTGTTCACCTGACTTTTGAAATACATTGATTTAAAAGAAAAAGATAAGGGAAGCTGGTATACTGCAAATCAAAACTTTACTTTGCTTTACCAAAACAATATCTTTATTTCCAAAAACTTCTCTGAGTCCCACACTTATTTTTAGGAATAAGTATGTGGAAGGCTGTGAGCTATTTCTTCAGTTATGAGAGTGACATAGGCAAACCCATCTCCTACCCCACGGCAATTACTGCATGAGAATATCCATAACTTTCTTTCCATTTTCCCAATTGTCCTCCACCAGAAAAATCTTGGTTCTCCCAGCTCTACAGTTTTAGAGAGGTGTCACCCATAGTCATAGCTGGAATACCCTGGAATTAAGCTTGAGATGTTCATGGAAGACAGATGCAGTTTCACTGAAGGATAGTCCTTCAATCCCACATCATGATGGGAAATTCTATAAAATAATATGGCTATGAAGCATAAGATTCTCCATCCTGAGCAGCATTTGTCTTGCAACTATCTTTAATCTATATTTAATGAATTCTCATTCAGTTACTGTTTTCTAATTAGTGTAGATAAAATTATTCACGAACTATTACCAAATAGCTATATAGGTAGTCCTTGACTTATGATCGGTCACTTAATGGCCATTTGAATTTACGGTGGTTCCTGCAAAAGCTACTTACAATCCAGTCCCAAAGTTACAGCTGCTGCAGTGCCCCCATTTTCATTCGCCCTTATGACTGACCGCAAGGATGCTGCAGTGACCCCCCCATTTACCTTCCTCCCCATGCCCCCGTGGGTCCCTGCAAGCATTTCCCTCCTCCCAACAACTCCCCAATGGCTTAAGCCTGATTCCCACCCACCAGGCCCCACTCACTCCTCTTCACTTATCTTTTGAAGAACTCCTTGAAGAAGCCTTCCATAGTGCGGGAATGAGCTCTTGGTCATTTGGTCACTTGGTGCAATTCTGGGATTGCGCCACATGGGCAAGGGGCAAATCACTCCATTCTGCTGCCTTAACACCCTTTGCACAGTGCCACAGAAAGCTTCTGTGCAACCCCATCAGGCAGACAAACAGAGCAATTTGTCTCATAGCTGCTATTTTGTCCCCACCCACAAGTGGGCGGGAATAAAATGGCAGCCATTTCGATCATAATAGGCAGGCTTCATTACTGTCATATCTTGAGGACTATCTGTATGTTTCTCAATTCAGCAAACCTAGTTCAGCAAAGAGATATTTGGGGAAGATTAAAAATGATTTAATTTGTTGTAGGTTCTAAATGTTTCTAATGATGGATTCTGTTTAGAAATGCCCTTTTTATGTGTGGCAAAAGAGCTGGTGTTTCATATGGTCATATATTTTTAAGGAGGAGAGAAGGAGGAGAAGAAGAAGAAGGAGAAGAAGAAGGAGAAGGAGATGGTGGTGGTGGTATGGGAAAGAAAGGAGAATAAAAAATAAAGAGGATTCTGCACATTTGGGGCGCTGAGGGAAAAGTCAACTAAGGAAGTTATTCTTGACAGAGGCATTACTTGTTTCCCACTGCAGTTCCAATTTATCATTTATTATTATTTTGCAAGTGTAAAACATAAATTAATACAATTATTGTATTAATTTTGACAGCCAGCGATAAACACGAGCAGAGAGCAAGACTAAGTGGATCCAGTACAGTACTGAATTTCCACACTATACATATATCAGCCTATCAGTCAAAAATTATTTTTCCTTATGTAACAGAAATGAAGAAATGAATACATTATAACAATAAAGTCAAGCAACACATTTTTTTATATGAGCATACAGAGCAAGAAATGTAGACGAATTTAACAATATCTCACATGGGAAAAATGACATTTGGAAATATGATCACTTGAGGCATGCGTGTGTGGCTCTGTAAGGCCAGTTGCAAACTTGGGATCATCCTGAGCCTAAAAACTAGAGCCAGCGTTCCAAAGAATGTTATGCTTATTTACTATAGATGTAAAAGAAATCTCTGCAGATTTCTCTGGGAGCTGCACATTCCTGCAGTTGTCTCATGGACAGGAGCAAAGCATAGAATCCCTTAAGGTTCCTCATTTGCTGATGAAAAAAAAATTAACTCAGACATGTTGCATGCATTTCAGAAAGTTGCTGATAAAACTGCTCATATCAGAAAAGTTTACAAAGACAACAAATGTTATAAAGGGGGGGGAGAAATATGAGGAAACCTACAACACTGACATCTCATTCTTGATCAGCTAAGAATAGGGGTCTTCAAACTTGGCCCTTTTATGACTTGTGGATGTCAATTCCCAGAATTCCTCAGCCAGGCAAGCTAGCTGAGGAATTCTGGGAGTTGAAGTCCACAAGTCATAAAAGGGCCAAGTTTGAAGACCGCTGAGCTAAGAAGAGCAAAGATGAAGGAGCTGTGGTGGCGCAGTGGTTAGAATGCGGTATTGCAGGCTAATCCAGCTCACTGTCAGGAGTTCAATCCTCACCAGCTCAAGATTGACTCTGCTATCCATCCTTCATTGCTATCTTTGGAGGGTATCAGAACCAGGGAAAGAAAATAGTTTCTCTACTGGTACAGTTGCGCATAATCTAGGCCCGTCTCCATCATGGGCTGGGAAGAAGATGAAGGCAATATTGCAGGGGCACGAAAGACTCAAAGCTCAATAGATTTTACTTACCTGGAGACTGCTGTTGGATGGGGTCAAAGTAAGAGCAGTGGCAAAAATGCTACTTTAATGCCAATTCAGCTAAGAATGACCTATGCTTGGCTGCTGATGGGTTGATGATAAGACATAGCCAGCAACTTGGGGACATTTCAGCAAAAAGATGTTGCCAGGGCATGATTATGCTCAGCTTAGTGCAAGGGGGGAATGGCCTGGAGAAGACTTTTAACAAAGACCTTGGATTTATCCCTTCTGCAACTACTTTCCCATCCTTTCCTTTCTCTGATTTGTTTCTAGCCACAAAACTCTAAATTCTTCACCTAGTCTGTGGCGGCGAACCTATGGCACGGGTGCCAGAGGCAGCACTAAAAGCCCTCTCTGTGGGCATACACACCATCTCCCCACCCCATCTCCTCCCATGGCCCTCTCCTCACCAGCAGCCCCCCCGAGAAGAGTTGCCCTTGGGTGCAGCCCACACGAAGCAACAGAGCCAAGGACATGGTAGCTGGGCAGCGGGGACAAGACTCCGCCCTTGCGCCCCATTGCGTGTAGATGATGCTGCGGGGCATGGGCGGAGGGCATGGCTGCCATGGCGCTGCTGGGCTGCCTGGGTGATTTGTGGTGGGCCATGGAGGTGGTGAGTGGCCCAGTGGGCAGGGCGAAGTGGGGACAGGGTGGGGGGCATGGACACTCGGTCTCAAAAAGTTTCTCCATCACTGACCTAGTCATTTCCAGGGCAGGATGCTGCTTGCAATGCACCTCCTGCAATAGAATATAAGAAAACCAGTTCAAGGTATTTCCCTAGATGGGGAATCATGATTTGCAGGCTGATAACTGGTCTTCTTCAACAAATCTCCCAGTGGATAGGAAGAGACTACCATCTTTCAAGTATTTAAAGCCTGTGCAGTATTGGCATAACTGAGGGGTCTTTGTTGCTCTCTGAGCTTAGTTGTTTTCTTCAGTTGTTTCACTACCCAAACTAGATAACAACATCACTGAGCACTAGTCACGTTACCTAGTTTGGGTAATGAAAGGTCTGCAAGGAAACAACCAAGCTCAGGGAGCATCAGGGGCCCCTCATTTCAACCCTGAGCTACAAATATTCTCCTCTATTGGTTGGCATAACTGGCAGAAGAGAAGGCATTAGTGGGTGTGTGTCTTTCGGAGAGGGTGAGTTGGAAATACTCTTATCAATGGTACCCAAGAATGCAGGCTTTCCAAAGTAGCAAATTGGTTGAGTGGGGGGGAAACCCCTTCTGACAGGCCCTGAACTTAGACAGCTCTCGCTGTGATTTTAGAAGCCATTGTTAACAAGCTAAAGTGACATATCGTATTGCAGGTTAAAGAGAGGAATATCAAATTAATGGTCCGAAATAAACCCCCTGCTTCTGTCTGGAAAACTGTCATCTGACCCACCCAGCAATTTATTTTCAGAGAGGGCCCTTAAAAGAACAAAAAGAACTGGCTTGGCTCACATGCAATCCTCTGGATGGGTGGGGCCATTGTTGTCACTGAAGTGATAAGGATCAGCTTTGTATCTTCAAGATCTGGTATCCCAGGGATATTGAGATGCAAATTCAAGGTGTTTTGCAAACCTTTCTCCCTACCCCTTCTCTCTTATTAAAATATAGCCTTTTAGGTCAGACCAGCAGCCTTATTTTTCCAGTTATGTTGGGCCGGCAAGGCCATGCTAGCTATATTTGGTAGATTTATTCAGTCATCCATTCGTTCAATTTGTATGGTCTCCCATTTCAACAAGCTACTCTGGGTGGTGAACAAAATTAAAAATG